AATTTGCTCACACTAGAAGAGAAAACACACATCCTAGTCTTGTCCTTCCAAGTTTACTGAGTCAGAGATTTAAGAACATATATTTTCTGGTTACAAAAATGATATAAATCTATTATTCGTGGTGTATTGGATGCTAATTCTTCTAAAACTGAAGTAGTGAAGTTACCACATTCTTGAATTGTAGTTCCACTAATCTGTGGTGTATCTTTTATCTCCTTCACCAGCACACCAGGTTTATAAATGTCTTGTGTCCAATTCTATCAAAGACATAAAAACATTCACATTCTGATTCCCTTTGCCTTACTTCAAGACTCAGAACACTTAAATATCTTTTAGTTGTGAAACTTTAAACAATTCTGAATGAATTCTTTTTTTAACTGTGTTACATTTTATTATTTTACAATATATTTCAAAAAATGTCATAACCTTTGCCTCAACTGCTGTATAAGACCTGGAATAAAAGAACACTTGGAACACACAAACATCGAGCTGAAATAATGCACTTGTACTGAACCATTCCTACCAAAAGGTTGTAGTTTATTAAATAAGCAGATGTGTGGCAAGGTAAAATAAAATAATCTGTTAAAACAGAAAGTAAACTTTGCTTTAAGGGCTATAGAAAGGAGGTGGTTTTGTTTGCTTTTTTTCCCAACACATCTGGTTCTGGCAGCATGTAGTAGTATGCATTTAAAGTAGTATGTGCCCTGAAAGCATATATTTTGTTTGTGTGTATTACTAGTATCAGAAACCAGACACATGAAAAACTACTGTTTTCAATACCCTCCATACCTGTCTCTCTCCCTCCAGAATATTCCAATGTTAGGGAACTCAAGGCTCTTTTTGGCAATAGTATTTTACAATTACTTTGCTCGGGTATCACAGGATGATTTTAATTTTCTCTAAGAGAAATGATGAAAACGTAAGGAAATCTTCCAGGGTCCAATTTTGGCTTCACATTCTCCAAGTAGTAAAATAGCTCTACATGGTGATGAAAATGAATTTCAAATTTTATTAGTTTTTAATTGTGTTAACATTAAAACATATCTGGATATAGCTAGACTTCCAAAACAAAACATGATTGCCAAGTACTTTATAGCTTTACTAATGTATTACATAGATGTAATTAGCTCTTGCCTACTCCAAAACTCACTCTCTCTCTCTCTCTCTCTCTCTCTCTCTCTCTCTCTCATCTTACCTGCACTAAAATTCTTTTTTTCTGAGGGGTCTTAAGATTAAGTGACCAACCTGGCTTTCTTTCTTTATAAGCAATAATTTGGGTCTCTTTTTTTTGTTCAATATAACTGCAGCATTTTCTGAATAAATTCTTAAAGAATGTTTTTCTTACTATGTTGGAAAATTTTAACATGCCCAAGAAAGATATGTACTTACCCATTTCTTTTTCAGTTAGGAACTCAAACCTTCTCAAATATGATAATCCTGTTAATACTTAAGACCTCCATTTGCTGCGGCCTTTTATCCCCATGTTTTTATAAAAGACTAGATAAGTCCTGCCTTATAACAAAAAGTGCAGTTTGTGTTTGGTCTTGTCAGTGAAATATCATGCTTTTCCTAGAACATTTTGTGTTCTGTGGCTGTTGTAGTTTGAACAAATGATCTTTGCATGTTCCAAATATGCATGTCAAGTACCTGGAAGCTAAGGCCAGGGAGGTGGCTCAGCAGAATAAGCATTTGCCTGGCAAGCACAAGGGCCTGCGTTCAATCCCCAGTTCCACCAAACAAACAAACAGACAAACAAACAAACAAACAAACAAATACCTGCAAGCTGTGAATGTAACTTTATTTGGAAAAATGAGTCTTTGCAGATTTAATCTAGTTAAGGATTCTAACTTGAAATCAATCTGGATTATCCAGGTGGATCCTAAGTCTAATCAAAACAGTCTATCAGAAATATGCAGGATAAGTAATGTGAAGATGGAGACAAAAATTCAAGATATGTTCACAAAGAAGCCCTGAAACACCTGGAGCTGCCCAGCTGTGGATAAGGAATGAAATGAATTCTCCCTTTCAGTAGCCTTTCAAAGGAACTAGGCCCTACCAGATTTTAGACATGTCCTACAGAAATGCAACGGAATAAATATCTATTTAAAGTAACTTGTTAAAGCAGCCCTAGGAAATTAATAAAACAGCTGACCCCTGAGGGCTCACAATTATGCTCCTCTTTGTGTGTGTGTGTGTGTGTAACTGGGGATTGAACTCAGGCCCTTGGGCTTTCCAGGGAAGCACTTATTCCACAGAGCCATCTCCCCAGCCCCATCATGCTCCTCTTTTTTTACTTTTTTCATTTTATATGTATTTATTTAGTTAGTGTGTGGCTGGCTCAGCCTGTCCTGGGGGTGGGGCTGGTGCAGCATGTGGTGCAGTTCCTGAACTTGCCTTAACAGGCGCTTTAGACCGGTTAGCTATCTTGCCAACGCTGCTCCTGCCCTTTTTTAAAAAAGTATTTTAGGAAAACTTGGTAAGTCTTCCTAGATGTGTAAGGTCCATCAATTGGACCCACTGTATATCTCTTTTAAATTAAGTCTCGTGATTTACTGATCTTAATGCCTTTCATCTTCAGATAGGGAACAAAACTGCTCATGGTATCAAACAAAATTTGTAGCACCTTAAGTTATAAAAAATGACTTTTAAAAGAAATTCTTAAATCAGGCATGGTGGTGCACAACTGTAATCCCAGCACTTGGGAGACTGAGACAGAAGTCTCACTGATGCTGTGAATTTGAGGCCAGTTTAGCCTAAGTGGTAAGATCTTGTCTCAAAAACAAAACAAAACAAAAAACCCTAAAAAAAAAAAAAAGATGTTTCAATTCTGTTAATTGATACTGTGTCTCAAAACTTGTGATACGGGTCTCTCTAAAATAAAAGGGCTTATTGGACTGTTATAGACTCTGGATACAAAACAATGGGTTCTATGAGAAGTTCCCGCAGGTATCAACAGAAAGGTTAGATGGCTGTTTACAAATATGTCCTCTAGACTTTAAGGCAAGATCATTTTTATAACAGTAATTTGGGGAAAGCAAGCATGACTTGTTCACATCAAATGTGAAATGGCTATAGATAACAAAGACAGAAATGGGAAATCAGGACAGTTTGGGGATGGTAAGGCCATTCATAAGAAGTACTTGTTATGAGCAGGAGGTTTTGGTGTCTGGTGTTCAGTCACCTCAGGTTTCAATACAGGTTTCAATATCAACATACACAGTATTCTAGAATGTTCATATCTTTCATTTTTATTTTCTATGTACAAGGTCTACAGGGTATCACTACACAGCTCGGACTTGTAGTGATGCTCCTGCTTTCAGCCTCCTAAGAGCTGCAAGTGCCACCAGTCCAGTGTCAGTCGGAGTCTCAGTATGCCCTGGGGGCGGGGCTGGCACCGCACGCCAGGGAATCGTATTTTTGATCTACCTATGCTAGCCAACTCCTATTATGCTCACACTACACATGCAAGTGCAGAGCCAGCGTATTTTTTTTTAATCTTTAGCTTTATTGTTCTACGATATTATAGATAAATGTATTTATTTAGCGCCAGGAATAGAACTTAGGACCTTGCGCTTGCAAGACAGGCACTATGCCACTTACCTATATTCCTGGCCCTTTAAATTTGGATCAAAAAATTGTATTTATGAAAAATAACTTCATACACTTTGGAGTTTTTATAGTTTTTTATTTCGCATTTTAGGGAAGGGTCTACAGGGTGTTCAGGGTCTCACTACTAGATGGACTCATAGTGATCCGCCTATTTAAAGACCCCAAGAGCTGGGATTACAGGTGCACTCCACCACGCCCAGTCTCAATTGCTGTCTCACAGGCACTTAAGCCTGCTGAGGTGTCCTGGCCCTGGGAGACGTTTGCTTTGTTTTGCAGTGAACTTTCATCCTTTTATAAAGCAGTCAAATAAGGCACTTGAAAGCAGGTAAGAAAAGGCCAGAAGCAGAATTTTCTAATTTTGTACCTTAACTTAGTAACATGAATCATAAATTTAGTTCAACACCTAAGATCAAAAAGATCTGAGGCAGGCATGGCATAGTGGTGCTCACAAGTAATCCTAGCACTCTCTGAGGCTGAGGCAGGAGGATCCCAGCCAGCTTCAGCACAACTTGGGCAACTCAGAGATTTCACAAAACTCAGAGATTTCACGAGACTGAGGATGAGAGGAGAGAGAGAGAGACAGACAGACAGACAGAGAGAGAGAGACAAGACAGAAACAGACAGTGGTCCTGGGTTCAAAAGTCTACATTGTTCTAGTAATTGTTTAGAATTTTGGATATACCATTTGTGACCTTTGTCTTCAACAAGTGTCAGTGACCTCAGTAATTAAAAATAGACGTCGACACACCTTAGCAACGGACACACACAAAGGGCTATTATTACCATCACTGAGAGGTTTGAGCAATCTTGTCATTAGAAGCTCTGGTGCATTTTCAAAGGTATGGAGAAACATCTCTGGGCTACATTAATTTCTAATTTCATTCTTGAAACTATCTTAAACAGTCTATGGAAAGAGCATTTCACACTGGATTATTCTCTTAATTCGGGATGTAATCCAACAGCCCGTTTAATCCAACAGCCAGTGTAACCGCCAGGCACTTGCTCCCAGCCGGTTCCCGCGAAGCAGCGGCCGCGCCACCTGTCCCCCAGGGCCCACTGTCATTATTCTTCTTCTCTGCCCCGCCAGAACGTTGGTATTCACGAGCTTCCAAAGCCCTGAAACTAACAGGGTGGTAAACCGCGCAAACCGCAGGGTAGCCCGCTAGCTCGCTCTGCAGGGCGGAGCCTCCGCCTCCGCCTCTCTGTGGGCGGGGCCTCCGGGCCTACGCGCCTACGCCCCGCCCCCGCCCCGCCCCTGGATCCGCAGCTGGGGGCAGGGAGGACGCGCGCGGCGGCGCCCAGGAAACCGGCGGTGGTGCGGGCAGCCCATGGGGGCGGGGCCTGCCACAGGAGGCGGCGCCTGACGCAGGGGCGGGGCCTGTCTCACGGCGGTCCCGGGGCGCGGGCGGGAGGTCTCACCATGTCTTGGCGCCGCGCGGCGCTGGCTGTGTCGCGGCTGTCGCAGCGCCGGCTTGGCTCGGCGGGGCAGCTCCGTGGGGCGGCGGGCGCTGGAGGAGCCGCGGCCTCTGGGTACGCGGCGCGGCGGGCGGGCCCTGTGGCTCCGGGCGATTTGGAGGAAGCGGGAGAGGGGTTTGCACTGCCTCCCGGAGGGGCGCGCGCGGGGCCGGGCCGCGAAGGCGAGCGTGGGACTCGGGTCCCGTCTCCTAGGGCCCGCGCGAGCCGCTTGGACACCTGCTGCGAGGTGCTAGAGAACAGACACGACCTGTGACCTACTGCGATTGCGGATGAACAGCGGCGGTGCGTTAGGACGCGAGCGCGGACGCGTTTAAAGCGGAAGGCGTTCGCTGTTTGTCTGAAATTCTGGTTTAACTAGCCCTTTAGTTTTAAATATTTGCTAAATCTGGCCGTCTAATCTCAGAGAGTAAAGGTGACATGACCTAGTAAATGGCCAAAGCTTTGAGGCCGGGGACTGTGACATTCCTTTTGTCCCTGCTGTGCGGGGGTCAGTGCTTTCCCGGCGCTTCCCTGAGGGGACCCAGCAGCAGGCGAGAGGCGCCTCCCCGTCCTGCCGCTTGGCATTTTAGTGGCAGCCAGCACTTCTACCCCCGGCCTTGGAGTATCCCACTGCGTGATCTAGGAACTCTGGATTAAGTCTCGACCGAGCTACAGACCCTCCTAAAGAACCAGTTGCATTAGTGTTGCATTTAATTCTTCTGTGGATGACCTCTCCAAACAGGTGATAGCTTTACCAACCTCAGCCAGAAATTGGAGAGACTTTCACAAATTAAATGTTAGGAAGGGAAGTGGGCAATTTTTTAGAATGCTTCTGCTGGATCCCTTATTACCCAAGAAAACATTTTCTCAGGGAAGTTCTACTAAACTGGTTACTAATCTGTTGGGAAAACCAGGAATTATCCGTAGCAGACATTATGTAGATAAGATTTGTTATAATTTGTTATACTTGTCTGACTCATCTCTTTTATACCTGAAGATAATGCTTGTTACAGATTCCTTATTCTAAGTTGCAGTATCATTTATTAGCCAGGTATAGTTTACACAGGTGTAATCCCAGCACTCAAAGAAGCTGAGGCAGGAAGACTGAAAGTTTGAGTCCTGCCTGGGCAATTTGTTGAGATTGTAGCTCAAATAAGGAGCGTGGGATATGAGTCAAGTAGAGTGCCCTTGGGTTTGTTTCCTCAGTCTGGGGACTGGTGGCTTTAAAATTTTTTAAAGAAATTTGAAACTTGTGGGCCGGGGACATAGCTCAGTAGGCAAGCGCAAGGTCCTGAGTTCAATCCCCAGTACCATCAAAGAAAGAAAGAAAGAAAAAGAAACCTGTAAAAAAATGAAATTAAATGTAAACATAGCTTGTGAATGTCACATTGAAATTTAAATGCAAAGAACAAAGTATTTGGAGGGAGCATTCATTTTTCTATCGGAATTGGTTTACTGAGGAAGATTAACACATAGGGGAAACAAAGGTTCTAGGAGTAAGTGAAGAGATTTGATGATACTGAACTGGTTAGGTCTGTAGTGGATGTTTTCCTGTTTAATCATTGCCTCCTTTTACAAGCTTCCAGTAGCTAGCTTTGAGATAATAACTACTGAGATGATGAGAGTCTCTAACACAAGAAATTAGTAGTGGCAATACCAGATGTTGGTGAATATTTATGATGTGTGAGACCCCATTCTATTTTATGTAAATATCAATTCCTTTAACTCTTACAAAGCCCTTTGAAATAAAAGTGATTATTGATCCTTTTTTTTTTTTTTTCCTCTCTCCTGCTAGGTCTATTCTTGTTTTTTTGATTGCAAAATTTGGGAGCTATAGATTCATTATAATTGATATACTTTAGTTTAAAATCTTTTTTTTTTTTTTTTTTTTTAACCTCCATGGTGCAGGGAATGAACCCAAGGCCCTTGGCCTCTGAGCTACATCCCCAACTCTTTTATTTTGAGTCAGGATCTTAACTATAAGTTTCTCTGGCTGGACTCAGGGAATCCTGCCTCAGGCTTTTGAGTATTGTGGGGTTTGGGCTTGTGCATCTTAGTTAATTCTGCCTAAGAAAATTCATACATACATGTTTTCTTGCAGCCTCTTGGTCATACCTGTTTTTTTGTTTTTTTTTTTTCCTTCTTCCTTCCTGACTACTATTTCTTACAGGAGAATTACCTCCTGTAAGATAAAAGTGAGCATTATAAGATATTTAGCAAGAATGAGCTATAGAAAAGGTGGGGTTAAGGTTCAAAAATCTTTAACTCTTTGTAGGTCACTTGCTTCACAGAGTGTTCATGGAGTGTTTGTGTATTTTAAGAAGGAAATGTAAGCTTTATTTTTAAACTAAGGATCACACCATCAGTAGAACAATAGTTACAATTTCATGGTTATGAACTTATCAGTAAGAGGGTCCCAAACTTTAAACACAGTGAATGTGTGATTTCATCTAATAAAAAACCTTGGGAAACTAATTGGGTAAACACAAGGCCTTTTTGCTTTTAGTAAACAAATACTTTGTGAACTGCTATTTGTATTGGTAAGTGAGATTTTTTTTCTGTTTTTGTGTTTGGATATATTTGTATTTAAAAGGTTTCTTCAAGTGGGACTCAGATTAATTTATGACTTAATAAATGCCCTGCCCTTTTTAATTCCTTTTAGCATGGGGAACAGCACATCATCTTTGGAGAAATCAGCAACTGCACCTCTGAACCAGATCCAAGTGAGTAATGTGGGAGACTTAGGAAAACTTTTCTCTGTAGAAAATTGCTTTATATACTTAATAAGCCTCCTCATTGCCTAAACTTGATATAGTTCCCAAATGAATTGGGAAATTAATATTTAAATTCTACTTTCAAATAATCCATATGACAGTGAAGGCTCATATCATTTTAGTAAAGTTTGAGACTTAAAGGGATCTTTACTGTAGATTGAATCTGTGAGGCTGACTACTATTTTTCAGCCTACCCACACTAGGCTGACTTTCAATACATCAAGCTGTCCATAGCCAGGCATGCTCTTTGATTTTGGCGTGTGCATTTGTTTATCACCTCTGTACTCTAACAGAGAACCTAGGATGCAGTAGGTTTACTGCATACTGATTGTTATTCCATAAACAATCCCCTCAGGGATACTGTATATGTTTCCATTTCCTCTCTCTTTCACTAGCATCTTAGTTAATTCTGCCTAAGAAAATTCATACATACATGTTTTCTTGCAGCCTCTTGGTCATACCTGTTTTTTTGTTTTTTTTTTCCTTCTTCCTTCCCACATCCTGCCACCACATATGAAAAGTTTCTGCCTTGGTCTGGGGCTGTACTGCAGTGGAAGATCTTGTGCCAAATGTGCAAGGGCCTGGCTTTGATCTGTCACACTGTGCACATGAACTGCATTTAGTTGAGTTAGCTAAACTCGTATCTCTTGAGTATAATAGTACTGCTGGAACCAGTGCAAGAGAATTACCTCCTGTAAGATAAAAGTGAGCATTATAAGATATTTAGCAAGAATGAGCTATAGAAAAGGTGGGGTTAAGGTTCAAGAAACCTTGCCACTGTTATTGTGAGTTCCAGTTTATCTTGGCACATCTGTGTTAGTGTTTCACCCCATGGCAGCACCCAGCATTCTTACCTTAATGTAGATGATGAGAGTCACAGTGTACCTATGACCTGAGGCAGCAAACCATAGCAGCTTTGCTGTTGTGATAAGTCCAAATATTATGAACCTTTCAGCTTCAGTTTTTTCATCTATAAAATGGATTCATTAATACATCCTTGGTACAGCTGGCCTTCCCTGAGATAGACTTTTATTCCAAATATTAGTAGCAAGCAGAAGGAAAAGCATAAAAATAGATCAGCTTATAGATAGGTAGCCTGTGACTTAGGACTCTTTTGGTGCCCAAGGGTAGGTACAATTTCTGAGGCACTTTGGACTATGTTTTCTGTTTTAGACTGTTATCTTGAAGATTCTGCTACGTTCCACCATGTAAGAACAACCTAGACAGATACCTGAGCACTTGACTTATCCATTCATAATGCATCTGGATGCCAGATGTGTCTGTTGAAAAATTTTTCAAGGTTTCAGACACCTATATATTTAGAAACAACAACTACTACAAAAAACCTTCACAGGCTGTGCAGATATATGTCCCAGTCTCGCGATCATTTGTGGCAAAGTGTTGAGAATAGTGTCGTGGACGTGGAAGTGTTTACATGAGTTGAGTCTGTTATTTTTATTTTTATTACTACTTGTGAGGAACTATTTGTTGTTTTTGTATTCATTTTGTTTTTTTGTGGCTGGCTCAGCACGCCCTTGGGCAGGGCTGATGCAGCACGTGGTGCTGGGGATCAAACCTCAGTTCCTCTGCTTTGTCTAAGCTTGTCTAAGCAAGCGCTTTAGACTGCTGAGCTATCTTGCCAACCTCTCAGGCACCATTTGTTATACTTCTGTTCATAATATAAATTCAAAATGAGTAATATCCTCACCCTGCACCTATTAAAATGGATCCTAGAAACTTTATTATAATTTTATTTTGAAGAGTAAAAACAAAAGCGAGAAAATCAAAACAAACACAGAAACAGGGTGTCATACAACAATGCATATCAAGAATAACTGATTAACGATGGATACATTATCTTTTTTATTGTCAAATCTATTGTTCAGATTAACAGGTATAGTTATGGAAGATTGAGTATTGCCGCAAGAAACTTTGAGCTCTAAATTATAACTCCCAAATTTGTAGCCTTTCCACAATACCATAATTTCTTTCTAAAACATGATGTCCAGAATTAAAATGAGGTTTTGTTTTATCTCAGGAAACAATTTCTGATAATTGTGTGGTGATTTTCTCAAAAACATCCTGCTCTTACTGTAAAATGGCAAAGAAGATTTTCCATGACCTGAACATTAACTATACAGCAGTGGAACTGGACATGCTTGAATATGGGAGCCAGTTTCAAGATGCTCTGTACAAAATGACTGGTGGAAGGACCGTGAGTATATCTCTAGCTGTACTACCCTTGTACTATACAGCTGTGACTTGGATCACCTAGAGTCTAGACCAGTGGTGGTGAACCTGTGGGGCATGTGCTGCAGCGGGCATACAGAGACCTCTCAGCATGTGAGCCAAGTCACTCCCCATCGCCCCAGCAGCTGAGCGTCGGGTAAGTGCACATAGGGGCAGTGTTCTGACTTTGCAATAAATAGGTGGGGTTTGGGATGCAGTTTGGTCTTCTGTCTCTAAAAGGTTCGTCATCACTGGTCTAGACCTTCATGTTAGGAAAAGTAAGCCAGACCTCTGAGGATCTTCTATTGATAAAGAAATGGCTGATCTGGAAACCAGACTCTTAGAATAGGAATCAGCAGAGTTAATTCACTTATTTATTCTTACTGCATATGTATGTTTTTTTTTTTTTTAACATTTGATCATTTTTTTTTTTTTTTTTTTTTTATTTATTTATTTATTTTGTGTGTGTGTGTGTGTGTGTGTGTGTGTGTGGCCAGCTCAGCCCACCAGGGGGCAGGGCTGGCTGGCATGTGGTGCTGGGGGATTGAACCGCGGTCCCTGTGCTTTGCTAAGCTTAGCTTGTTCTAAGTAGGTGCTTTAGACCACTGAGCCATCTCACCAGCCCCTGCATATGTATGTTTTGATCAGGATGAGTGAGATAATACCGTGATAACCACTCATCTGTGGATCTTTAAGTCCTTTTGAAGCTCTATGTGGTATAAAAGTAGTATTCCCTTGTCTTAGTTACTCTTCTTTCGTTGCTGGGACAAATACCTGACACTCAAAATGAAGGAAGGAAAGGTTTATTTAGCTCACATTTACAGGAGGTTTCAGTCCAAACTCAGCTGGCTCCAAGGCAGAGCGGCACATAGCAGAGAGCAACCTTTCATGGTGGTGGCAAAGAGCAAGAGCACAAGGGAGTGCTGGCTTCTCTTCCCACCTTACATTGTAATGCAAATTACCTGCCCCAGTGCAGGTGCAGCAACCACACCCACAGTAATCAATCACAAACTCCAGAAGACACCCCAAAACAGCATGAGGCTTTGGGGGAACACCTAGACACAAACCATAACATCCCTTTATTCATATAGTATAAAACAGGGACCAATCTCCATTTGCTGTGATAATAGAGTGCTTTAGTGTTCCATGTTTTATTTTCTTTTCAGTTTTTATTTTTTATTAGTACATATTTGCAATACACAATATTTGCAATATATAATGATTACATTCCTCATAGGGATTTGGTACATGTACAGAACACATCTTAATTATTTTTTCATCCCTCCCTTTCCTCTCCTCTGTCTTTTGGCTCTCACATTTGCAAAAGACTATCTCCTTATTTCCCATTATCTTTTATTTTACTTTTTATTTATATTTTCAAGAAATATTTAAGCTTAGGTATTTTTCAATGACTACCAACGGTGTCAAGGTATATCCATTTCCCTACAAATATCTCCACTTTATCCTTATTCCTGGCAGAGTAGTACTTGGTTGTACATAAACAGCATACTTTCTTCATCTATTGATAGGTATATAGGCTATTTTCAAGATTTAGCTCTGGTGAATTGAGCTACCATAAACATAGATATGCATGTATCACTGTAATATAATGTCCTCAATTTTGGGGGGAAAATACCTAGAAGGGGAATATCTAGGTTGAATGAGATTTCTAGTTTTAGGTATTTGAGCAGTCTTCATACTGATTTCCAACATCGTTATACTAGTTTACATTCCCACCAATGGTGTAGATGGACACCTTTTTAAAAAAATCTTTTATTTATTTGTTACAGGGTTTTGCTGTGTAGCTCAGATTCATAGTGATCTTCCTATCTCAGTCTCTCAGTGCTGGGATTACAGGCCTGTACTACCTACTACGCCTGGTCTTGGTGGCCTGCATAGTGTGTCCGGGGTTCCAGGGCCAGCGCAGCATGTGGTACCAGGGTCTTTGTGTTTGCCAGGCAGGCACTTAGACTGCTGATCTATCTCCCCAGCCCATGATTCCTTTTTTTCCTCACAGCCTTGCCAGCCTATTATTATCTGATTTCTTGATGATAGTCATTTTCTTCTAAAATAAGGTGGGTCTTGGTGTTGTTGTAATTTGCATTTCTTTAAAGGCCAGAGATACTAAACATTTTTTCATGTATTTAATGGCCATTTGTACTGTTTCCTCAAAGAACTGTCCTTTTCAGTTGTGCATATTTTTCTTTTCTTTTTTTTTTCTTTTTTTTGGTGGAACCGGGGATTGAACTCAGATCCTTGTGTTTGCCAGTCAAGCACTTATTCTACTGAGCCATCTCCCTGGGCCCTGTGCATATTTTTCATTGAGGCTTTTATTTTAGGGAGAAGATCTAATTGTTTTGAGTTTTGTAGATATTAATCCTTTGAGGAATAGTTGGCAAAAGTTTTTCTGTTGTTGCCTATCTCTTCACTCTGTTGGTTTTGTTTTGCAATGTAGCATTTTAATTTGATACGATTCTGTTCGACTCTTGATGTTATTTGCACAATTGGAGTTCTGGACAGGAAGTCATGCCTACACCTGTGTCTTCAAGAGTTTTATTTCTTTTATCTTCTAGGAGATTTTTATTTTAACATTTAGGTCTTTGTGAGAGAGGGATCTAGATTCAGTATTCTGCATCTTGATTGCCAGTTTTCTCAGTGCCATTTATTGGAAGAGGCTGTCTCTCTGCCAGCACATGTTTATGCCCCTTTGTCAAAAAATTAGATAATTGAATGTGCCTGGAATTGCTTTTGTATCCTCTGTTTGTTTCAGTACCAAGCTGCTATCACTGTAGCTTTGTAATATACCTTGATATCTGGGATTATGATGCCTTCTGCTTTGTTCATTACCTAGGATTATTCTGCTATTTTGAGCCTTCTGTTCCCATAAGAGTTGTAGGATTGTTTTCTCTACCTCTTTGAGGACTGTTTTTGGTGTTTTTGTTTTGTTTTTAGGGAAGGGTCTACAGGTTGTTCAGGGTCTCACTACTAGATCAGATTTGTAGTGATCCACCTATTTACAGTCTCCCAAGAGCTGGGATTACAGGTGTGCATCACCACACCCAATCTCAATTGTCTCCAGCACCCCAGGGCAGGGCCCGTGAAGCAGGCTAGGGATTGAATCCTCAGCCTCTGTGCCTACTTCCAAGTGCTTTAGTCCACTAAGCTATTTGGCCCTGTTTTTGGTGTTTTGATTAAAATTGAATTAAATCTACATATTCATGTTCAAAGTACGCCCGTTTTGACTATATTCACTCTATCTAGGAATGGGATATCTTTCCAATGTATTTGGTTACTGTAGGGTCTCACTAGGCAGCTTGGACTCATAGTGATCCTGTTTTTAGCCTCCCCATTGCTGGGATTACAGGCCTGCACCACTAAACCTGGGGGCATGGCTGGCATGGCATGTGGTGCTGGGGACTGAATTGCAGTCCCTGCGCTTGCCTAAGCAGGTGCTTTAGTCTGCTGAACTATCTCACCACCCGTATCTTTCCTTTTTTTTTTTGTATTTTAGTACAGAGCCTACATGGTCCACAGGATCTCATTACATAGATAGATTGGATTTGTAGTGATCCACTTGTGTTCAGCCCTCCCAAGAGCTGGGATTACAGGTACATGTCACCACACCCAGTCTCAATCACCTGCCTCAGCACGCCCCATTTTTTGATGTCTTCTTTGATCTTTTTTCAGAGTGCTATTTTTTTGTAATTGTAGAGGTGTTTTCACTTTCTTAATTTCTAACATTAAATTTTTCTTGATGCTATTGTGAATGGTATTGTTTTCCTAACATCTTTCTTGATAAGTTCATTAAGGTGTACAGGAACGCTATTGATTTTGTGTTGGTTTTATATCCTGCTCCATTGCTGAATTTATTAATTCTAGGAGACTTCTGTAGAAATTTTTGGACTTAAATGTAAAGGATCATGTCATCTGCAAATAATAATTTAACTTATTGGGGCCGGGGAGATGACTCAGTAGAATAAGTGGTTCCCTGGCAAGCGCAAGGGCCTGAGTTCAATCCCCGGTTCCACCAAAAAAAATAAATAAGTAAAAATAAATAAATGAATAAATAAATGATAATAATTTGACTTCTCTTTTCCTAGTTGTATCCCTTTTATTTCTCTTTTCCAGTTCTGGCTAATGTTTTGAGTGCTACATTGGACAAAATTAATGATAGTGGGCATCCTTATCTTGTTTTTGATTTTAGAGGGAATGCTTTCAGTTTTTCCTTATTTAGTATGTTGTTAGCTATTGGTTTGTCATAAATGGCTTCTGTCAGGTTTATTAAGTCCTTCTCTATAGCCATTTTCTTCAGTTTTTTTTTTTAAAGAATCATGATTGGATGTTGGAGTTTGTTGAAAGCCTTTTCTGTGCCTATTGAGATGATCCTGTGATTTTTTTTTTTTTTGTCCTTGTTTCTGCTTATGTGATACGTTTATTGATTTGTACATGTTGAAATATCCTTGCATTCCTGGGATGAAGCCTACTTGGTCATTAAGTATGATGTTTTTGATGATTTATTCTATTTTGTTTCCAGCTATCTTGTCAAAGATATTACATCTATGTTCTTTAAAGATGCATTTTGTATCTATGTTCTTTAAAAAAAGATGGCTTGTAGCTCTTTTTTGCTTGGATCTAGATCGTTTTGACTTTAACTCCAGGAATGACTTTGGAAGTACTCTTCTTTCAATTTCATTAAAAGTGTGAGGACTATTCATGATAGTTCTTCCATGAAGTTCTTGTAGAATTTAATGGGGAATCCATCTGGATCTGGGCTTTCTTTAGCTGGTAGATTTATTACTTCATCAATTTTATTCCATTTTTAGGTTTTACATATATATATATATATATATATATATATATATATATATATGTATATATATCCATCCTTCTTGGCTCAGTTCTGGTAATTCATGTGTATCTAGGAATCTATTTTCTTTTCTGATCTTTCCAGATTATAGGAATATAATTTTTTGAAGTAGTTGCTAATAATCTTCTGGATATTGGCAGTGCCTGGAGTGATTTCACTTTTCATTTCAGATTGTACTGATTTGGGTCTTTACTGTTTTTACTGGGTAAGATTGGCAACGGACTTGTTAATTTTTTTTTTTTTTAAATCATCTATTTGTTACAGGGACTCACCACACAGCTCAGACTTACAGTGATTCTTTTGTCTCAGCCTCCCTAGCTCTGGGATCACAGGCATGCACCATCATGCCTGGTTTAAGTAGCTGGCACAGTTCACCTGCCCAGGGTTCCTGGGCTGCACAGTATGCAGAATTGGGCATCAATCTCCAGTTGCACTTGCCAGGCAGGCACTTACATCCCCAAGCTATCTCCCCAGCCCTTTGTCAATTCTTTGAAACAGCTCCTCATTCTTTTAGTCTTAATTTTATTATTTTTCTGTATTTAGTACCTGATCTACAGGGTATGCAGGGTCTCACTATGTAGATTGGACTCCTAGTGACTCTTCTGTTTTCAGGCTTCCAAGAGCTGGGATTACAGGTGTGTGCCACCACTCCCAGTCTCAATCACTTTCTCCAGCACTGTACACTGGGGATCGAACCCAAGCACTTTAGTCTGCTATCAGGCTGGCCCTATTTTATTGATTTTTTCATTTCTAGAACTTCCTTCCTCATACTAGCTTTGGTTTTGTTCTTGTTTTTCTAGGACATTGAAGTGCATCATTAGGTTATTTGGATTCATTTTGTTTTTCTGATGTGGGCATTCACAGCTATGAACAGAAGTCCTCTAGTCCTCTTAGGACCACTAACATTGTCTCCTTATGTTCTGATATGTTGGACTGGCAGTATCATTTGATTTTAGGAACTGTCTAATTTCTTTGATTTTTAAAATTATATATTTATTTACTTACTTAGTGAAGGATCTCACTATGCAGTTTAGGCTGGCCTCGAACTCAAGATGATTTTCCTGCCTCAGCCTCCCAGGTGTTATCACACCTGGTTCTTTCTTGGCTTCTTTTGTGACCCATTAATTATTCTAAAGTATGGTGTTTTCTATGCACTTGCAAACTTTTTGTGGTTTCTTTTGTCATTAATTTCTAGTTTTATTGCACTGGTTTCTGATAATATACATGGAATAGTTTCAGTTTTACATTTACTTTAGTATGGTTTGTGGGCTAGCAAGCATGTTAACTGCTTTGGAGAAAGCTCCATCTGCTGCTAAGAATGTGTGTCCTGTTTGGTGGAGCACTCTGCAGATAGCCATTAAATTCGTTTGTTTGAAGGTTGGATCCAGCTCTGGTCTTTTTTGTTTAATTGATCTATTTGACAGTGGGGTATTAAGGTTTCCTGCTATCCAGTAATTGTGTTGGTGTTTATCTGATCTTTTATATGGAGTAGCGTTTTATTAAGTAGGATATGTTTACTTATTTAGCTCAGTTATAGAGATTTCAGTCTATTATTGGCTGGCTCTAAGGCAGGGTGACATCACACAGAACAGTTCATGGTAGGCAGAAGACAGCAAATGCAACAAGGGACTTAACAGTATTTTTTCTGCCCCTTTTATCTTATCCAGACTACTTCAGGGTGGGCAGCATTCACACCCTTCATCCTAGTGCCCTTGAGCCTAGCATTGCAGCAAGAATCAATTCTGGTGTCACACACTGTAAATCTAGCCACCTTTGAAAAAGGCCCAACTATGAGTGAAGGAGGCTCTGGGGAGACATCTAGACACAAGCTCTAACACAGTGGTTACCATAGCGATAAATACGAAGGGCTTTAGAATCAGACTGTCTTGAATTTGAATCTTAGCTCTGCAGTTTATTATTGTATCTTGGGCAAGTTCTCTTCCTCATTTACCTCTAAAAATCGTACTCAGTGTGAAAATAAATTATCTGAAATGGGTTTCTACTTGATATTAAGGATAGGCCTAATTGATCTTGTTTATCCAACAGGTTCCAAGAATATTTGTCAATGGAACTTTTATTGGAGGTGCAACTGACACTCACAGGCTTCACAAAGAAGGGAAACTGCTTCCACTAGTTCATCAGTGTTATTTAAAAAAAAGTAAGAGGAAAGAAGTTCAGTGACTTAGGTACTTTGACTAGGAAATGTCAGTTAAAGTGATACCTGATAATGTCTTTTAAATGTTAACTTAAGTGAATTATCTTCATGACAATTAACAATAATGAACAATAAATTGCTGCAGAAACCTCATCTTTCTACTTGCCAATTCTTGAGCGTAAGACATAGTATTTACAACTGAAGGGATGGTGTTGCATGGAAAAATGAGGGAAGAATGTGTTTTATTGCAATTTATATGTGAACTTTACAAGGAGATAAGTATTTGAAAATTTTAAATCTCTACAGTATTTAGGAATTAACTCCTTCTTTTAGTAATAAAGATTAATAATTATGATTTTCTCTAAAATTTGAGGTTCACTGATACAGTTGTGAACTAGGTAATCTATTATATTGTGAAAAGCATTCACCCTGTATTTCTAGAGCTTAGAAATTTTTAGAATGGAGTTAAATTTAGTAAAACCAAATCACTTAATGATTTAATAGTCCCAGGGGATATAAATGTATCTATGGCCGGGAATTAAAAGGAAGACTATTACAGCATTATGTAAGGATGAACTCTTATGTGAGGATACAGTTAGAAACGTACTTGAATTGAGTTTTTACTTTTGTTTGCATTTCTTTTCAAAATGTTCTGTAGGAAAACCAGTTGTTAGATGGAAAATTAGATGAAATGAAATGTTTCTGCTTTGGTTGGATGTGCCCCCTCCCCCTAATTCCTATGTTGGAAACTAATCCCTAATGTAGCAGCATTGAGAAGTAGGACCTTTAAAAGGGTGTCCAGGTCATGAGGGTAGATGGATTGTTATCAAGAGAGTGGGTCTTGATAAAAGCTAAGTTTGGTTCCCCTTTCTAAGTGTGAGCTATGTTGATCTTGGCCTTCTGGGCCTCCAGAGCTGTGAGAACTCAATCTGTTCATTATTAATTACTTAGTATCAGGTGTTCTTTTACAGCAACACAGAATGGACCAAGATAGTCCCTGAAAATCATTTTTACTGTTGATATTCTGCTATTTTGGAAACACTAAACTGGTTACACTTCAGTTCAATTTTCCCAACAAGATTTATCCAAGTAGTCTTATTTTTAGAATTGAAAATATTTTCATTGCTTTAAGTCATTTTTCTAGCTTATCAGTAATTTTTTAAGTGCTTACTACATAAAATATTTTCCTACTTTATTCCCAGAGTCATGTGTTAGGGGCAGATTATTAGATGCTAAGAAAAATTCCTCAAAGGTGGGAGGAAAATGGATGTCCATAGAGTGAATGCTTTTGTTTTCTGGTCAGGGAATTTGGGATAGCCAGCCTTAAATTGCTGTTTAGAATCCTTGATAAAATGAGTTTATAAACTGTTTTCCATGTGGTAATTCATTTGTTATATTGGCATGAAACAAAGTGGAATCTTTTAGTCCTTTTATGTCATGAAAAGTTTTACATGCTTGCTGTTGTAAAATCTTTGTTAGAAATCTGTTACCCATGAAAAAGATAAAATTGTAATTGTATACTGTCACTGTTATTGTATTTATTTATTTAAATTCTTTTAGGTAGGGTCTCGCCATGTAGTTCAGGCAGACTGTGAATTTCTGGCAGTCTTCCTGCCTCAGTCTCCAAGTGCTAGGATTATAGGCGTATACCACCATACCTGGCTTTTTCTTTTCTTTTTTTTTTTTGAGACAGGGTCTTGCTTTGTAATCCATGGTGAACTTGAACTATGTAGCCCATGTTGCCCTCAAATTTGTGGCTATCCTCCTGCCTCAGTCTCTCAAGTGCTAGGATTACAAGAATGTGCCATTGTACCTGGCTATGTTTGATATTTAGATATTAAAGGTAAAGGAGGGTTACTTCAATATGGAGAAACATGGGCCAAGTTTTGACAGAACTCAGCTATGAAGGAAACATCTTGTATCAACTCATTCTAAACTGGTAGAGGGGCCAGGGAGATAGCTTAGAAGTTTAAGTGACTGCCTGGCAAATGGAAGGTCTCGAGTTTGAGCCTGGGTACCAAAAACAAACTGGTTGAGAACTGGAGGATCAGAGTAATGGTTCTTGATTATGTTCACATCTTGAAATAACTCAGTATTAAGGAGAGAGCCTTAAAGACTATCACAAGGTAATAGGCTATTAAGATTATTGCTTATAGCTTTATTTAAAAAAGAAACTTTTAGTCTAGTTGTATTTTCTGAGCTTTATTGTCAATGACTAATAAAAAAAGGTACTTTTAGAGTTTCACACTGCATCAAGAAAGATTTAGGAAAGAACACTTAAATGCTAGAGATGAAAGAAATTTGCCCCCCCCCCACCATAGGATAATGTCTTTGAAAAATCCACTGAGTAGCAACAAAATGTCATTAAAGTATTTAAAATGCTGAATATAAAACTTAAAGAGCAAGAGCTTTACTTTAAATGTTTTCCAAGGGGCTCACTGCAAAGGTGGGGGTTAAGAGAGATTTATATTGGGGAATATAACATTTCAGTGAAAGCTATTAGAGTAAGACAAAGAAATGTGCCGATCATTACAGGGATGATAGCGGGTACTTCCTGAAATGTCACATTTCTTATGTAACACAGATAATGCTGTCTTCTGTTAGGGTTAATAAAATGGAATACTGCAAATCTCTTGGAATGAGGTTTAATGTATACTCAATATGTACTGGATGCCATTAATTACAATGGCTGAGAATTACGTGTGGTTTTCTTATGGACCCATTGGGGTAGGACAAGTTATTCACTGTCTAGCCAAGATTTTAATGAGAAGGGGGGTTTTTTGGGCTTCAATGTTATCTTGTGTTGCTATCTGTATCGTTTTGTGTCCTGTATCTTACAACTGGCTAACACTGTAATATAAACCTAAAACAAAAAACTAAGTTATTCCAATAGTAGTTTTCCCCCCCAGAATTACAGCTTAGAAAGGTGATCAATCTAAGAAGTTATCTCCACTCACTTCTCACCTCCCTTCCATTCCTTCATTTTTTAGACAGAGTTTTGCTATGGAGTTCACGCCGGTCTTGAGCTAACTACGTGGCCTACACTGGCCTCAAAGTCACAGCCTTCCTCCTGCCTCAGCCTCTTAAGTGCTGGTATTACAGGTACATGCCACCATACCTGGCTCGATTTTATTTTTAATGTTAACCTCTGAAAGAACCGCTTACTAGAGCTTAGTTATATTAAAATTGGCATCTTATTTTACTTAATCACTAAAATATCGGTATTGGAAAGCTTGAGAAGTTAGAGGGAAAAGTCTGTACCTGTATTTTTATTGTTAAACAAATTAAGATTATATACACAGAGAGACACATTTTGTAGTACTGGAGATCAAAGCTGTGGTCCTGAGCATGCTAAGGAAATGCTGTACATCCTTATGAAGTACAGCCTTACAGGAATTTTTTTTTTTAGCCAAGATTTTGTATTAACTTAAGCAGGTTAAATCTAATTGTCTTTATGGAGAAACATGAAATTTGGAATCTTCCATTCTCATGTAACTGTTGATTTTATCCTTAGAGAACTGTAAAAATCAGTGAGATAGTTCAGGTCTGTTGTGTATATCCTGATTTTGCATTTATCCTGTACCTCAGATCTTAGAGAACTTTTCAGGAAAGTTTTCTGCAGATTGGCACTGAACCAAAATTCTTATTTGCCTCATTCACTGTTTTTGGCAACCTAATTTTACTTTTTTTTTGGTAGAACCAGGAATTGAACTCAGGCCCTTGCACTTGCCAGGCAAGCACTTACTGAGCTATCTCCCTGGCCCCAACCTAACTTTTCTCAAATGGAACTTGTTAAGTACAATTTTTCATAAGACTCTTGTATTTAAAACTTTGAACTATTAGGCATAATAGTTTGTATCTGTAATTCCTGCTGTTTGGGAGGCTGAGGCGGAACTACAAGTTTAAGGGCCAGCTTGGGCAACTTGGTAAAACTCTCTCAAAAGGGAAGAGGGTGCTCAGGTTTAGCTGTAGATCACTCAGATGCATAAGGCCATGGGTTCTATCCCTACCACTGTAAGTAAAACAAAACTAAAACCTCTTAAGGGGCCAGCAAAATAGCTCAGTGGACTAAGCACCTGCTTTCGCAAGCACCCACATGCCGTGCCTGTCCCGCCCCCAGTGCGCAATGAGCCGAAGACCGAGTTGGGGAGTGGTGGCACATCCCTATAATCCTAGTGCTGGGGAGGCTGAAAACAGGAGGATCATTACAAGTTTGAGCTGTGTAGTGAGACCCTGTACATAAAATAGAAAAGAAAAAAAAAACTTTTATTTGCCTGATTAAAATCCAACTGTATTGATCTGTATTGGAACTCTTAATGGAGAAGAACCTCCAAATGCATACATGTTCATTAAATAATAGGAGTAGGACTGAAATCTCCCACTGTGAACTAAATAAACCTTTTCTTCCTTAATTCTGGGTGTCAGATATTTTGTCCCAGCAACAAGAAAATAATAAGACAAAAGACCATAACTTAGCAGAATTTAATTTCACCTTAATTTAATTAACTTTAAAATTCGTGTGTCTTAAACAATTTGATGTGCATAGAATTTTAGTACACCTGTCAATTTCTACAATAATACAGTAACCAGAACCAGTTTACATAGTGCCCACCTATACTCCGTATCTGAAATGATTTACAGGCATCCCTAATTCCAAAATCTGAAATGCAGCAGAAATGGAAACCTTATGAGTGCCAACACGATGCCACAAGTGGAAAATTCTGTACCTTACCTCATGTGATGGATCACAATCAAAATGCAGGCACACTAAAATTTTATGTTTTATCTGTCTGTACAAGGTGTATTGGAACATTTCTAAGATATCTCATTATGAATATGCAGCTATTCCACAATCTGAAAAATCCTGATGCCAAGCATTTCAGATAATGGATAATCACTCAGTAGTAAAAACTTTTATTTGAAATAAATGTAATAATTAGTATATTCATCCATTCCAAATCAGAGAACAGCAAAATTGCATCATCAGGTGATTACTATTAGTTTTTAAGCTGGCGATAGATGTATTATTTATATTGAAAAGTTGGAAGACTTGCCAAAGCAGCAATGAACAATTCTAGAAACTCCTTGTCTCCCCCTTCCTATACCCACTTTTCAGGATCCTTTCCTTAGAAATGAAATCAACTTGTTAAGCATCACACTATATGTACCTTAATCACACTATATATACTTTAAGCACCAGCTTAACAATAGTGTTCTTTCAGTTTTAGAAAATATTCCTGCTTTGAAAGTCAAAGTGAATATAAAAATGTGAATGTAACTAAACAAACCACTGACCTGGATACTTTTTATTGCAATAGTTTTAGTGTTTTAATATATATTCATTTTCTTGAATTTGCCTATAGGCTTGAAACAAACTACTTTTCTTTTGTCTCAAAATTTCCTTTAAAAACTTAAATCATTTTTAAAACAGTACAGCTGTATTTTTTCATTCATAGTGTTAGATATACAACTTTGTCCTTGGAAGTCATGTTATAAAGTCTAACTTCTTGGGTAATTGCTTATATATAACAATAAAAAACCTTAAACATTATTGATGTTAACAGCCATGTATGTATGACACATCATTGTACCCATGTTAGTGTTTAAATCACTAATGTACAATTAGGTTTTACAACTTAACAGTTATATTTCCATTCATTATGAGAAATTAAAAACTCTAAGAGACCATTTGAATTCTATTTTCAGAAACACTGGGACATTTATATTAAGGCTAATAAACAGTCCTCAAAGAAAGTACCTAGTATGCCTATAGAAGAGAGCTAGTCATTTTAAGGCAGAGGGTCATTTTTCACATTAAGGCTCTCCTACAGTTAATTCAATGCAAGTATTAGTCTAAATAATTTAAATATTCAACAAATGGTCAATTATAGAAGGCAAAGCCTTCATAGAACGCAAATGGACAGTTTAGAACTAGACTGGATGTTCTCTCTTCCTAATTTGTCTTAAAGATGCTTTTATGTATCACATCCCTTGGAGAACTTCATTATCAGAATCTGGCAATAACTAAAGAACCCCTCAAATATACTGTAAAATTTATGTGTACTCACATCACACAAATATATAGTTTATATGTAGAATAATAGTAACAAAGTTTTTCTTTGCTGCTATGGATTTGTATTTTTAATTTAATTTGGCTATACTGTATAGGGATCCTAAATAGTTTACAATGCAAATAAAACCTAGAAGTTCACTTAAACAAATTTCGTTAAAATGTTTGTATTGATGTAGTATTCCTCTAATTATATATGGTGATATATATATACACACACACAATACATATAAAGTTTTAAACTTCATTCATTACCTTTAACATTCCAAGTTTAATTGTGAAAACAAATGTAGCTTGTTTGCTTTGTTCAAGTAGATTCTGGTAACTTGTAAAAGTACAGAAAATTAAGTATACTCTAAAATTACTTATCATTTGTACTCAAAGGTTTTTTCTTTTGCGGAACCAGGGATTGAACTCAGGCCCTTGCGCTTGCCAGGGAAGCACTTATTCCACTGAGCCATCTCCCTGGCCCCCTGTAAGTTAATGTGATCCATACAGGACTAAGTAAAATCAGTAAGAATAAAAAAAACTTTAGTATCAGAAATCACTTTTGTGTATTTTGGTTGTATTTACAAATTCATTCTCATTGTAAATAATCTTAGTTTCAGTAACAGTATTTAAAAACATTTTCCTTTCTACCACTTTTTGGTATTTTCAGAGTTCACAAAATATGCCATTTATTATACTTTTATTTGAATAGCATACTTCCCCATTATCCATTTTCTATTTCCTTTTTTTTTTTTTGTGGAACCAGGGATTGAACTCAGGCTCTATCCATTTTCTATAGTAAAATATTTTAATTTCATTTTTGTCAGAAAGCAAATAAAACATTTACCAGCTGAAAATACTTAATATCAGTATAAGTCACTTACATGGCTTTTATTTAAATGCTGTAAACTGTGTCTGGGGGATATATACTCAGTGAAATGCTAAATTATGGAAATAGTTGCTTGATTCATGCTATTTTCTTTAAAAGTGGCTATTTTTCTAGGACTGCTTATATAGCAAAATATTTTTTTCAATGGAGGTTAAGTACATCTCTTCAATTGCAAAGACTAAATCACTTGATTTTACCAAAGGCCACAAATTTTTGGAAACATCTAATATGAAAGGTATAGTACAACTTGATTTGGGAGAGAGAATACATATAATTGTTTTAAGAGATCTGTCCATTATTAATTTGAAATGATGTCTTAAATTTGTACGAAACACCAAAAGGAGGATCTACAAGAGACTCATCCCAAATCTAAGTGAATTTCTTGGCATTTTATTACTCAGGTACATCACAATAGTATATTAAAATCTTATATGAAATAGTTATGAAGCAGCTATGCAGCAAACAGTAAAGAAAATCCATAGAGTATTACTTTTATGGCTTAACAGATCATTTCAATTAGTTCTAATTTGTCACTGTGTGTGATTATATGGAAGATGCATGCCATTCTCTGGAGGATGTAGTACCTTAACAAACCATTGCAAACCTGTGGTAATGACTAGAACTTTTTGTTTCTGATTACTCTTAAGCCACCACTTGCCAAGAAATTGGCAGAATTGTTTAGGTCAAATTAAAATAAATTCAAGAAAAGATGTTGTCTTGGTCTTTATTTTTAGATGCAGCTTTTCTGTGTTTCTAAAGATGTTTTTTAACTATCAGATTTTCAACTTAATTGAGGAATTCTGTCCCATTTTTTAAAAAAAATTTTATTTATTTATATGTGCGCGCGGGCAGCTCAGCCCACCAGGGGGGCGGGGCTGGCTGGCATGTGGTGCTGGGGGATTGAACCGCGGTCCCTGTGCTGTGCTTTGCTAAGCTTGTTCTAAGTAGGTGCTTTAGACCACTGAGCCATCTCACCAGCCCCTCTGTCCAATCTTCACAAAGTAATTTTACATTGTTCTTGCAAAATCTAGAAAATAACTCAGAAAAAGGTACTTTATCATTTGTAGACTTATTTGAAATATTAAATCCTGACAAGATTATGTGCACCTGTAACTCCCAACACTCTGGGAGATTAAGGGGGGAGGCTCCTACCCAGTCAGGACAAATTAGCAACTGTCTCAGGGAAGAGGGGAAAAAAAAAAAAATCTTTGGAACTGTGAGCCAAAATAAACCTTCTCCTCTTTAAAAAATAAATGTTTTTGTTTTAAAAAAAGCTGAGGATGTAGCTTAGCATGGAAAGCCTTGGGTTCAGTTCTCATTACTGGAAAAAAAAAAAAATCTAAAAACAAAATAACCAAATAAACAGTATCTCTTCTTTAGAATGTGAGAGTATTAATTTTTCTAGGTCTTTCTATAAAACTCTTAGAATGTTTTTTAATAGAGTAGTAATTTCTTATTCAATACTTTTTTTTTTTAAATGTTTTTTTTTTTTTTTTAATTTATTTTATTTCTGTGTGTGTGGCCAGCTCAGCCCACCAGGGGGCGGGGCTGGCTGGCATGTGGTGCTGGGGGATTGAACCGCAGTCCCTGTGCTTTGCCAAGCCTGCTCTAAGTAGGTGCTTTAGACCACTGAGCCATCTCACCAGCCCCTCTTATTCAATACTTAGTGACAATTTTTCTTCTACATTTTAGCACACTGAACAGGAACGTTTTTAAAAATTGAACATATTAAGCAGTTTTTCTAAAACTGTTTTAATCTTTTAACTTCCTATTAACAAAACTTTTTAATTAAAGAGACCTAACTTGCATTGCAAACATTTTTCCCAGTTTCAACTATTGAACCACCAATTCTTCTCTATCCAACCAGTACTTTTTGAAGATATTAAAAGTGAATTACACACGTTAAATTGGTTGTGTACAATCATACAGCAAGCTAAAAAAGCAAAAGAGGCTCCAAAGGAATAATGCTACATACTGTCTTAGCAAACTGCCTCATTCAACATTCTCAGAAGTTACCTAATTAATCATTACATAATGATTTTATAAAATGGAATTTAAAAAATTTCTACTAGTATGAAAGGTTCTTTGTTTTAGTAGTTCTATCCTGGAAATATTTACATAGGTATTACCTAGGAAATAAATTTTCTTATGACTATTTTAAAAAGCAGTATTTCCCAAAATATTAATGTTAACAGTAATCCTGTAAGTTAATGAGAAAACATCGCTTGAGTATATTCAAAATGAGGTAAAGGCATTGTTTTATTTCCTTCTATAGGACTACGTTATATAGTAACAGTTTATTACACAACATTTATTGTGCTTGAGAATTACTATGAATTTAGAACATACTTTCACAAGCTCTTTTTCTATTGGAAAAGCAATGATATATAAACTCTTACTAGCTAAATAAAAGTTTTGAATTATTCTTTTTATTTCCTGTTCATCTGAATCATGTTCTCATATTGTGGGGAAATGAAAACTGAAATGAAGAAACCAAACTAGGTCCTAGTGCTTTAGAATCAGATCCCTGCTTTGAAAATAAAATTACTTGTTGGAGTGGCATCTTCTTTGTTTTAAATCTAATCCATTCAATTAGACGTACTTAAATACTTCAAAAGCCACTTATTAATGATTTAATACTGGCTTCTAGACTTACTTGTTATGTCTAAAAACACCATGTAAAAAGCACATAACTGATTAAATAAGCTTACATTCTACTTAATATTTTTATTAGGAATGAAAAAGACCAAGCTGCATTTTAAATTTTCAGATCTTGACAGCTCTTAACATAATTTTTAGGTTCTTTAAATCTGAACATAGTATTTTAACATAACAAAAATACTTAAGGCTGGAGGATCTAAATTTTGAAGTCAGGCTGGGCAGTTCAGTGAGACACTGTCTCAAGATTAAGAACAACTCCCTTGAACCCCTGCAAAGCCTAAAGGACTGGAGACAGGTGTATCCTAGCGCTCCCTGGAATATCTCCCAGAACAATAAAAAAGCTGCATGTTAAATTTCTTGCTTGCCAGAGGGCTACAACCACAGCACCACAGACAGTGCATGTGCAGAGTGGGAAGTGGGTACTGGCTTTGATGCCCGAAACACACTTAAATGACATTTAAAAACTGCTACCAAATGCTTTGAAAGGAGGGCTACATATCAAAGCTAGCATTAATATGTCAAAGTGTCAGTACACTTGCAAAGAACATTTTCTTATTACCAACACCAAAATCTCCCATAAAAAAGTAGAAAATACGTACACAAATCTTCACACTATACCAGCTCCCCCACAGTATCTCTAATCCCAAGCATATAGTTTACAATTTCCTAGTTTAACTTTTCATGTAACAGTGAGTAAACCCCCAGTACACCTTGAATTACTATTTTAAAAAAACAATGCATAAGAATGGAAGTTTTACATATAAAATATCTTACACTACAATTAAAAAATTATGAGAAAAGATACTGACATATCAACAAACTGCTTTAATGTTAAACCTCCCAGTGAACAGTTCATAATAAAATAATGCGTTAGTGTAATGAAAAGTTTAATACAGGATGTATAAAAATTATTCCCTAAAGATTGGTTAGGTGGTAATGCTATTTAAGAACTACCTTTCAAACCTGAAGGACCTAGCTTATTTATTATATCTTCACCTTATCAAAAATGAATATTTTGCCATAAAATGAATGGACAGCGTCACAGGAGACCAATGTTATGATTACAATCTGACTAAAAAAGAGATAAAAGTAAAGCAATTCTTATTTTAGGAGCAAGGAGCAGGTTAATCTGGTTATAGCTGAAATTGAGGGACTTAAATTATTGAAATATTTTGTTACTTTCACTTATTAAAAAAAGTTTGACTACACAAAGCTATGTTGTTACTCAGAGAAAAATCTCTGTCAAGTAACACCCTTACTCATGCCAATAAAATACAATAAAACAAAATAAATCAGACCAAATAGAACTCCTCAGCCAACACAAACTTTATAGCCTCCTCTTGGGAGTTTCCTTTGTCTCTTTTTAATGGTAATAGGTTCTACAAGTACAAATAAAATTTAAAAAAAAAATCACGAAGTATCTTTTTCATTGAATAAGAAAGCTGGTAAGTGACTTTAGAAAACTCTGAAAGGAATTTGTAAAACTCATTCAAAATTTAATCAAATATCTTGTTTTTTTATCCCCTTGGTACAAAAGTTTACAGATGAATTTCATATTCCATCACAGTTACATGGTCTAGTGCATTTCAGAGTATTTGGATATTATCAAGGCTGTCCTTTTCCAATGAAAACATTTAAAAAACAGTACTTCAACAAGTAACATGATAAGGAACTACTTACACTTTTGGATCTCACCTCTTAAGTACAAATATATTACTAGAGTGAACCACTGTACAGTGTACTAAAATGAAGTTCTCTGTTAAGATAGAGGAAGCTACAGGATTTTGAAGTTACTTCCCAAAAACTACATTAGTGAATAGAACTTTGGGTTTATCTTATTGTTCTTCTTTTCCATAAAGTAACTTCCAGTATGTACACACTATACCATCATTGTCCACTGGATTAAGTGGGAAGTAGCTGTGTAATTGTAGTGAGATCACTAGTGGCAACTGACCTCTTCTAGATCATGCTGGTGCTTACTGTTAAATCACATCTAATGTGAAATTTCGAATTACATCCAGAGCTCCAGTGTCAAAGCCACACATATCCAACATGCCTCTATCGTCTGGGTCTGCAATAGTAAAACCATTTGATGTCATTCCACAAACAATCAGTTTAGCTGGAATGTCCACTTTCTGCAGGGGAGAAAAAAAGACACATAATTATACTGAAGGAAAAGCAAAAAAAAACCCTCCAAGATTATAGTAATTTAAAATATCTTCACCATTTCTTTAATTTACAAAGTCAAACTTTATTTTTTATTGTTGCTTATCTTTTAGGGTTAGACAATGAGCTTTAAATGATTGCAAAATAAAATTGTGTGAGGGGCCAGGGAGATGGCTCAGTAGAATAAGTGCTTCCCTGGCAAGTGTAAGGGTCTGAGTTCAATTCCTGGTTCCACAAAAAAAAAAAAAAAAAAAAATTGTGTGAAAATCCTAGCTGAAATTTCTTTGTTCTAGATTTACCTATCTTATGGGGCTCCAAATACATTTAAAACAGTATAGGAGCTTTGTAAATTATGAAAATTATTGGGATATTCAGGGGTCCCAGACACTTTTATCAATATTTCAAATGCTGTGGCAGTATGTGTGAGTGTATATAGATATAAAGGAATATTTTTCTGGGATTATCAACATTTAGTTTGTAATTTTCATATGCTCAATACAGCTATCCCATGTAAGAACTTGTTTTCTATTTACATGTAAGGTTAATTACAGTTTTTTTTGGTTTTTTTTTTTGGTGGAACCAGGGATTGAACTCAGGCCCTTGCGCTTGCCAGGGAAGAGCTTATTTCACTGAGCCATTTCCCCGACCCCTAATTACAGTTTTTGAGGGGAAAAAAAAAAATCCCTGCATATACATTACTGTCAGATACTACAATGAACTCTTTAATGTATCTAAGCCATCTAATAGGTCCACAATAAGAAAGACCCAGGACTCAGGACTCCCAGCTGTTTTTAGTTCAAATTCTGTTCTCTCACCTGTTGCTCTCAAATTCTAGTACGCATCAGAATCCCCTGGAGAACTTTTTAAAACACAGTTCCACTGAGTTAATGATTCAGCAAATGGTTGATGGGGCCTAGAATCTGCATTTTTAACAAGGTCCCAAGTGATTCTAAGACAGGTGGTAGCAAAACCATACTTCTTGAAAACCTCTGTTCTTCATCCACAAGTTCTATTTCTACTTCTATTCTCGTTAGGCACATGCTAAGTGTTAATATACCTATTTGAGTAGTGGCTACCATACTGGAGAAAGCATATAAAGAACATTTACGTCATTTCAGATGTTCAGTCAGGGAATGCTGATTTACCAACACGTAGCACCATGGAGCTTAGAGAACATAGTTACAGCATTAATTTTATGTAATTCATTGGCAAAATCCACAAATGATATTTTTAATTTTTCAAAGAGCACAATCATTAGTAACTTTAGTGACATTTTAAAAAAAACAGTGGAGTAGTAGTTGGGTTAGAATTTGTTTTACCTTTCTGTATTCCCTTAGAGCAACAGAAGGATGGACATTTCCTGCAAAAGTTTCATTATCAGTGAAAACAATGAAGACATCAGCAGCTGTGCTCGTCTTCTGAGCCCAGATCATTGGAAGAGAGCAATCAGTTCCACCAGCTGGGATCTAAATGCAACAAAAAAGTGAATGAGAATAAAGTTTCCCTCAGGTCCACAATCAATTGTTTCAAATCAATATTAAAATATTATTATTTTTACAATACTGTTTAGAGCCAGTATATAGGCCTTAAGACTATTCTATTTTTGGTTTTATGCCTCATGGGAAAAGATAAATTTCTCATAAATTAAGAAATGTAATGCATATTGATATAACACCATGCATACTATTAATAAAACACTGTTCCAAATGTTAAGTAAACATAAAAAAGTTTATTACCTGATTCATAGCCATTAAAACTTGTTGTAAGGTCATATCTTTTGTCACAGGACATGGTACCATTTCATCTGAAAAAGCAACTACGTAAGAATCTTTCTCTGTTCGTGTGACGACCTAAAAAATTAAATGGTGGTGATTTTCAGCAGGTTTGGGGGAAAGATAGTATCCTGAAGTTCATACTACTTCATTTTAAGAGAAGCAACACATTGCTTATTTTTAAACTCTTAGCTTTTGAAGTACTATACTTTTCACAAACTCCTGGAATAAAACTGCTTTTCAAACAAACCTTTAGGAAGGTAAGGGATATATTCTCATTTTATTAAGCTATAGGAAAGCCAGTTACGAAAAAATATTTAAGCTTGCCTCATCTGTTTGCTCTTCAGTGAGGCTAGAACTAAAGTCTCACTGTTATTAGTTTCCTCACTTTTAACTTCTTTATCTTTTGCTTTTTGAGCCAGGCTTTTGCTAAGTTGCACATGCCAGAGAGCTGAACTTGTGATTTACCAGCCTCAGGCTCCAAAGCAGCTGGGATTATAGGTGTATGCTATCAACTCAGCAAAAAATGATAAAGTGTTCCATGAGCTGAGCTAACAATATAAGTGAAACCATAATTTTTTTTAATGCACTTATATGGTCTACAGGGTCTTACTACACAGACTGGACTCATAGTGATCCTTTTCAGACTCCCAAGAGCTGGGATTAAAAGCACGCACCACTACGCCCAGTCTCAGCTCGCCCCAGGGATGGGGCCAGCACAGTGCGCTGGAAATTAAACCTCAGTCCCTGCGTCACAGCACACTGGGGATTGAACCTCAGTTCCTGCGTCACAGAATACTGGGGATCGAACCTCAGTCCCTGTGTCTGCCTTTAGTCCACTGAACTACCTGGCTGGCCCTCTATAATTCTTGAGAATACAAATTTTATAGTTTTACCCATAGCAAACACACACACACACACACACACACACACACACACACACACACGTAAAATATATACATATATATTTGTTTTGATGTTCTTCTTGGTACAGTCTTGCTACATAGTCCAACCTGGCTTTGAACTCTTGATCTTTCTGCCTCAGCCTCCTGAGTACTGTGATTATAGGCATATACTACCATGCCTGGCTCAGAAATAGATTCTGAGAGGTGAAAATTTCAAATTGTTGTACGTGTTCTCACCATGCACATGGCTGCAGCAACTGTGCTAGCATTGAGTATACTACCCAAAACTCTTTGGTTCATCGAAGCACTGACATCGACAGCCAGCAAGAAACGTTTTCCAGTTGGCTCAACTGTCTAAAGAGAAAACAAAACATTAATTAAAAGCAGAGATTAGAGATCGACTAAATGTCTAAGAAATCAAAGAAATATAAAAGGCCTGATTTTTTTTTGTTTTGTTTTTTCAGTACCAGGGACTGAACTCAGGACCCTGTGCTTTGCCAGGCAAGTGCTTATTCTATTGAGCTATCTCTCCGGGCCAAAATTTCAGAAGGATATTTTTGGCCCGCTCAGGATGCATTAAAGGCAGGTCTGGTAAGGCATGAGGATCTGGGGATTGAACCACAGAATTCTGAGCCTGACTGCTTTGCTTAAGCAGGCACTTTAAACAACTGAGCTAATGGGCAGGCCCCCCGGAAGGCCTAATTTTTGACACATCAACTGACTAAACTATTTAAAAATGCCTAGCTTTTAGTACAGGTAAAGAAAAAAAATATATTTAAAATTCCAGTTAAAGAAGTCACCATTCTGTTTGTTTGTTTACTTATTTACTGTATTTTTAGGGAAGGGTCTACTGGGTGTTTAAGGGTATCACTAGTAGATCAGACTTGTAATGATCCGCCTGTTTATAGCTTTCCAAGAGCTGGGATCACAGCCATATGCCATCACACCCAGTCTCAACTGCCTTCTCAGTGTGCCCCAGGGGGTGTGGCCAGCACGGCAGGCCCGGGGATGGGCACTCCAGCCCCTGCGCCTGCTTGCAGGTGCTTTAATCTGCTGAGCTATTTGGCCTGTCCTTTATTCTATTTAAAAAAAAGTCCTCACTGAAGAAAAATGGGAACTTGGATAAATTTTTTTAAAAATTGTGGTAGACTATGAAATTCACTTTTGTAAAAGTCTGTTAAGTATAATTCAGTACCATTAAGTGCACTCACAATGTTGTAACCATTATCACTTTTCCTAGAATTTTTTCATCCTCAATAGATTCTTTGTACAAATTAATAACTTCTAAGTGCCATCATTGAACTTCCTGCCTACAATACTTTCTGCCTCTATTAATTTGCTTACTCTAGACAATTCATGTAATGCAACCACTGAATTACTTGTTTCTTTATGTGTGGCATTAGCATATTTTCAATGTTTATTCATGTAGCATGTACCAACTTTTATACCTTTGTAAGGCTAAATTTACATTACATTCTGTGTATATATCACACTTGATTCATCTTTTGATAAAGACGTTTCTACAATTTGGCTATTATGAACAATGCTGATACAAATATCGATATACAAGTATTATATACCTCTTTTCACTTTGGCATTATACATAAAGTTCCTGGATGGTATGATAATTCTATGTTTAACTTTGTAATAAGTCCTGTTTTCCACAGAAGTTGCAACATTTTATATTCTTACAAGTAATACTCCAGGATTCCAATTTCTCTGTCCTTAATATGTTATTTTCTGCTTTTTTGGTAACTGTCATCTAATTAGGTATTAAGCAGTATCTCAAGTGTAGTTTTTTTAAATTACAAAAAAAATCTTTTTATTTGTTATAGGATCTTACTACACAGCTCACGCTCATAGCGATCCTCCTGTCTCAGCTTCCCCAGCATTGGGATTACAGACGTGTACCACCATACTTGGCTTCAGCGGCCAGCACAGTGTGCCCAGGGTTACTGGGCCTGCACAGCATGTGGTACTGGGGACTGAACTGGGTCCTTGTGCTTGACAGGCAGGCGCTTAGACTGCCAAGCTATCTCTGCAGCCCTCTCTGTACAGTTTTGATTTTATATTTCCTTGCTAATGATGCTGAATAACTTTTAATGTGTTTATTGTTCAATTTATACATCTTTGGGAAAATGTCCACTGAAGTGCTTTGTTCACTTTTCAACCAGATTGTTTGTATTTACACTGTTCAACTGTAGGAGTTCTTAATATGTATTCTTGATATTATACCCAAGGTATAAATATGTCTTCCTACTGGGCAGATTATTTTCTTTTTTTTTTTGGTAGTATCCTTATTATGTCATTTTCTTTGTTGGTTTGGCAGTGCTAGAAATCAAACCCAAGGCTTTGTGCATACTAGGCAAGTGCTGTGTAGCACCAATCCTCACATGTTGTGTGTGCTTTTTGACACACGTAAAGGTTTTTATTCCCCCAGTACTTGTGGCTGAACCCTAAGGCCTCAGCCCTGAGTTACGTCCTAAGCCTATTTTAGAAATTTTGTATTTTGAGACAAGGTCTACTAAGTTGCTAAGTGCCCAGCTTGGGCTCCAACTTAGGACCATCCTGCCTTAGCTCTGAGAGCTGGCAATACCAGCATGCGCCACCATGCCTGGCTAAAGCCCATATGTGTCTAATTTTGAAGTACAATTAATCTATTTTTTAAAACTGTGGTTGCCTATACTTTTGGTGTTTATATTGTTTTACTTCTTAAATGTAGGTTACTGATGGATTCTGAACTAATTTTTCTAAGGTTTAGCTTAAATAAGAAAATGCAGTTTTCCTGTATCATCTGTGAATACTGTTCTTTTTGCATTTAATCATCTTGGAATTCTTCTCAAAAATCAACTGATGAGGGTTGAAGAGATAGCTCAGCGGCATAAGCACCTGACTGGCATGTACAAGGTCCTGAGTTCGATCCCTGGCACCACAAAATAAAGAACTGATCAGATTTGCAAAGACTTTTCATTCCATTTCTTTGATCCCTGTATGTCTATAGGCTAGTAACATGGTATTTTGATTACTGCAGCTTTGTAGTAAGTTTTGAAATTTCAAAGTGAATCTTTCAACTCTATTCTTTTAAAAATTGTTTTGGCAATTAGGGTTCATTTGAAATTTCACATGAATTTTACAATTTTTATTTCTGCAAAACATGCTATTGGAATTTTAAAAGGGGCTGTATTGAATTTGCAGATTGCTTTGAATACTAGTGTCATTTTAACAAGCCTTCCAAACCAGGAAAATGGGTATTTTTCCATTTACCTTATGGTAATGTTTTATAGTTTTCAATGTATAGTAGTTGCATCTCTGTTTTTAAATTCCCTTTCTTCTCCTTTTCTTTCCTTTTTCTGTGGAACTGGAGATTTAAACCAACATCTATGCACTGAACTCCAATCAATTTTTATTTTTATATTCAAGATAGGGTCTGGCTATATAGTTCAGGCTGGCCTTAAATTCACTGTGTAGTTGAGGCTGGTCTTTAACTCATGGTGCTCCTTCTGCCTCAGCCTCCCCAGTGCTGAATTTGGATGTTATTCTACTGTATATCAAGGAAAAAAATTCAATTTTTAATTTAATTTTTGTGTGTGTCTTTTTTGAGACAGAGTCTCACTATGCAGTTCAGGCTGGTCTTGAGGCTCACTTCGTAGTCTAGACTGGCTCTGAGCTTACAATGATCCTCCTGCCTCCTGGGATTATAGGCAAGTGCTACCATGCCTGTCAAGAAAATTTTATGTATGGCACTAACAATGGGATTTCCGAACCAAATAATTCACTTCCTACCACAATTAACGAGACATAGCTACCAATTAACAGAAAAACAAAGGCTAAAAGGCTAAGTCAAGGATCTACACAAGAATGAAAATATTTTAAAAATTTAGTAATTCCAAATGCTTAAATTTTGTAACTCACCAAAGTAATTATTTCTTTTTAAATTAATTAATTTATTTTTTTCTGGCGGAACCGAGGATTGAACTTAGGCTCTTGGGCTTACCAGGGAAGCGCTTATTCTACTGAGCCATCTCCCCAGCCCCCAAAGTAACTATTAAAATTATCAAAATGATCTTAGAATTGCTGCCCAAAGGACAAAAACTTTCCTTTTAAATTCACATATTAACTATATATCTACCTTCACATAAACTTAGAAAGTAGATGTGTACTCATACATGCTTACAGTATTAATACTACCTTCTAAAATGTGTTTTTACAAAGGACATTAAGCCATAATTTAAAAATAAAAAATCAAGTGAAAACATTACCTTAAATGTTTTATAAAAAGCAATATCCAGCGCCTTCAAGATTTCTTCACAAGGGCACCACTTCAGTTTTCCTCTGAGTCCATGACCTATTCTGTAAGTTTCTAATGCGATTAGGACATGAAATGGATGTATACGAGCCTAGAATCAAGAAAAATAGTCCAAAATTCAAGAAAAAACTTGTAATTGTTTTCTCCTGAGATTTTTATGCTACTGTAGCTAAGAGAAATATTTTTAAAGAGAGAAAATAGAGGATGTATTAACCTTAGATTTACATCAAAATGCTATTTGGTATGATATTTATCTCAGAACATCTAAAAACCGTAATTAAAACTAAAAGTTTTCATTTCCAAAATGAAGGAGCCAACTTTTTCACTTAGTTAACAAAGACACTTCGTAATGCTTACCTTTTTTAACAGTTTTTCATTACATAGTTTTTCACATACTAAAGACACTTCTGAATTCCCTGGTTCAAGGACTGAATTAGCAGTCATTTTTCCCAGATTCCTTAATAATGCGGTAAGAGGCATTTCTTGTAATAAAGCCCTCCACACCTATAGGGAAAAATATAATGAATTATGGGGAATACACAGGTAGACATACAAAGAATTAAGGGGAAATAATTCCCTATAACATAACTCTATCAATAATATTAGTAACATACTCTAAGGCTTTGAGACTAAAAAATACCTTCAAAATGAAAATGGCATATCTGATCAAAGGTTTATCAAATCAGCTAACATTCTTTTCTAGAATCAGGAAGAAAAGTACATTTTACGAAGGAAATTCAGATTTTAAAAAAATAAGCAAGGGGCCGGGGAGATGGCTCAGTAGAATAAGCGCTTCCCTGGCAAACACAAGGGTCTGAGTTCAATCCCTGGTTCCACCAAAAAAAAAAAAAAAAAAATTAGTGAGACAGCAAATTTCTGAAGTTGAAGCAACACAAAATGCCAAGCACAGTGGTTCTCATGTTACTTTTTTTTGGTGCAGGATCTCACTATGCACCTTGGACTTGTAGTGATCCTGTCTCAGCCTCCCAAGAGCTGGGATTACAAGTGTGCACCACCACACCTAGTTCTGTGACTGACACAGTGCACCCCGGGTTCTAAGGCCTGCATGGCATGTGGTACTAGACATCAAAACCAGGTCTTGCACTCGCCAGGCAGGTGCTTAGATGGCCAAGCTATCTCCCCAACTCATGTTAGGGGTTTTAAGTAAGCATTTAAGATATATTTTTCTCTCCATTGCTTTTTTTTGTTTTGTTTTTTTCCAGTGCTGGAAATCAAACCCAGGACCTTGGCATGTGTCACTTCTTTTTTTGAGACAGGGTTGCACTTTGTAGTGTAGGGTGGCCTTCAACTCACTAAGAAGCATAGGCTGGCCTCAAACTTGCTTTTATCCTCCTGTCTCAGGCTCCTGAATACTCGAATTATAGGCATGTACCACTGCCCTGGTTATTTCTCTTTTTGAAATGAATTTACTCACCTCTTTAGATTTTAAGTGATTTGTTAGAAGATGCTCCCTAACTAATCTATGTTCTTCTATTAGATGAATGACTTCCAGTTCATCTTTTGTACGCTTCACTTTTTCTACAGCCTCCAGATATTTTAGCAATTTTTCAGTCTCCACAGGAAGTGCTTTTTCTTTATACAATTCATGGACCTCTTTCCATCCCTTTGTAATATATTTGGTCACAATGGCGAGTCCTTTAACAAGATGAAGAATTGAAAAGGGAGGTAGAATTATCAAGTAAAAGAACATACTTCTTGAGAATACATTTTATAATAGGCTTAGCTATATACACAGGAGTTAATTCCCTTAAGGTGGGATACTGTTTTTTATATTATAACAAAACACATCAAAGCAAACAGAACACATTAATCTTGCTCATTCTGTCATTACTGTTTAAATATGAAACTGAGGGGAAAAGGTTCTATACCTTATCTAATTGAATTACAGAGGCATTTTTTCCCAAGATATCAGTGCCTATTTCAGTTTATAATCTCAGAACAATTCCTAAGAGCACAGATCTCAATATCATTTTTTACTTGTCTTTATATATCTGAGTAAATACGGATTTTTCAGTAATAGAGATTAAAAGGAAGTGGAGACACAGGCAGGTTCTTTTATGGTTTTAGAGATTACAGCATAATTTTTTTTAAAAGCGGACAAGTGTTCCATCTATATATCCTAATCAGAAAAAGGGTTTTGGGGGCTGAGAAAAATCTAGGTTCTAGCCTACTCTCTGATTAAGTGTTTTTTTTTTTTTAGGTCTTATTCTCCACATCTATTAAAGGTAAGGATTAAATCCTCAAATTCAAAACTCTTTGCGGGCAAGGTAGGTGAGATACAGGAACTGCTAAGAATATGTAAGTTATCAGGAGTGTGGTGAACTTAACAGAATATGCAGGGCGTGCTAAACAAGTACTGACTTAGTTTTGCAAAGGTTTATCTTCAAGAAAGTCAAGTATCAATGTCTATTTGAAGTCTTCTGATTTTTAAAAATACTAACAATAATTTCTTCTCTAAAGTATTTTATAGGACAAATGACATACAGTATCTATGCCAGAGCACATGTACTATTTTTGAATTCTAAATAATTTGATCTAAATTTAGTAATAAGTTGAGGGTGATGGTGCACACCTGTAATCCTGCACTCAGGAGGCTGAGGCAGGAGGATTGCCACAAGTTCAAGGCCACCTTGGAGTCCTTGGTGAGACTCCATCTCAAAAAACAAAGTTAACTAGGAACTTCAAAAGTATCATGACTTGTTATCTTCCAGAGTTTGGTAGAAAAAGGTTTTAAATAACTAAATGTTTCATATGAGCATGTCTGTTGTTTTTCCAATGAAAAAAGTATTCCTTAAAGCAGCTGTATCCTACCCAGTTCCCTAATTGTGCAGATACACAATAAATATCTAATTAAATTACACTTTCACTGCTTTGTAATAAATATACCATTATTTAAGGTATTAATATTTTAATTACTGGTTGTTTAATTAGTTTAAAATTTTTTTCAATATGAGCAGCAGTGCAGCCTCATCTTGTCACCTAGTCACAAGTAGTTTTGCTTATTGTAATTTATTCATGTAGCATTCATAATACACTTGTCACTTGGTTCTAGTTAGCATGGTGTTATCAAAGATTTAGAACATTAACAGCAGGTCTGGCCTACAATTATTCTTAAAACCTGTGTTGCTTATAAGTGATTAGTTCTACGTTTGCAATAAACACAAACTGGTTAGTTCATGTATGTCTTGAGAATTAAGGGTAATTCTAGAAATTTTATATAAAGTCAAATGTTTTTTATTAGATATTGCTACATCCCCACTCTGCCACCATGAAGTTTATGCTTACCTTCACTGGAAGGTTTAAGATGTGACAGTCTTAACAGGTCTTTGTGAGACCAGCCGTTTCTTTGTTTGTATTTTGTAACTGCTAGAGCAAGGGCCATGCCACCTTTTTCATTGTACCAGTCTGCAACAGCCTTCCGGAGAGCACGACCCCACATTCCACATTTCATGCTTTCCTTTAGGTCTTTCTTAAATTGAATAAAAGTAAAGAGATGAGTAGGAATGCGACAAACTTCAGAAACAGCTTTAAATGCTGCTTGTTTAGTGTTTATGTCAGAACACTGGGAACAAATGGCAAGTGCAAAGAGCAAAGGCTCTTGCTTTGCGGTTCTGCCTTCTTGACTAAATGACTTTATTTCTTGTATCACTTCGTATCCTCTGCCATCTTCAATCAATCTAATTAAAGCTTCAGCATTTTCGAGGCCCAGCTTCTGTTCTTTGATATAGTAAGTACCACCTTCAGAACCAAAACACAAGAACCGGTGTAGTCGATTCATGTCAGTGACTTGCCATACATAGCCACCTTCAGAATTGGCTATTTGCTTTTCATTCAGTGGTTGCATCTGGTGTATAGATTCCTCCATTTTGCCTGTCTTTTATGACGCCTACCAAAAAAGCAAAATATTATTATAATCACATATAAGAAATAAAGTTATATATAGAAAATATTAATTATGCTTATTGAAATATATTACCTTTTAAATATAAAAATATCTTTTATGCTCAACAAACTTTACTCAGTACAAAACCAAAGTAAATGTCCTTAAGAAAAATTAGAAAAAGCAAAGACATGAAAAACAAAATCACAATTGGTCATCCAGAAATGAATACTAAAAACACCTAATTTGAATGTGAAAAATGCTTTTGCTTTACATGTACTTATATTTTTATAATCTAGAGAAAACTCAAAATACTTTAACGTCAGTGACAGATGCAGGGACAGGGTTCAACCCCAGGTATGTGGTGCCGGCCCCACTGGGCATGGTGATGCGTACCTATAATCCCAGCGCTTGGGAGGCTGAAAACAGGAGGATCACTACAAGTCCAATCTGTGTAGTGAGACCCTGTGCTAAGTACATAAAAACTTTAAAAATAAATAAAAGTTTAAAAAAATAAAGTCAATGAACTAGATTACAGGCACAAAGGTATGGCAATCAGAAACAACAACTGCATCACATCTGTCAGGTACAGTATACTGCTTCTGAGACTAAATGAGTAGGTGAACACAAGGTCTTGAGTTGTACATAGAGAGGAAGAAAAGGAAAACGTAGGGGAGCCACAGTAGCTGGCATGAAGAAAAATGTTAAACCTTGAAGAACTATGTAGGCATTTTTGGTTGTCTATCTGAAAATATTCCTCTACTTTCTCTGGTTTCCTTATGGTAACCTTCAGTCTTTTAGGCCTTTCTCTAACTCCAAGAGATGGATCCTAATTACTCTAAACCAGTGGCTCTTGAATGCTGTGTGCATCAAAATTATATACAGTGATAGTTAGAATGGGGTTCCTGGACCCGTTTCATAATGAACTAAGTCCAGGATGCATCTTAAGAATGTGTGCCCCCAAAAGCTCCCAGGTGGGGCTGTTCCATTCCGTGTTGCACAACTGCATGTCGTAAATGTGGCCCACTGCCAGTTTGTCTGGAATATTTTTGAGGTTTTCATCTTTCTTACAATGGGGCTTAGGCTTTTCAAAAGGGGTATTTCTCTGACTTATTTTCAATTCCAAATAATACCTGAAGAGTTGTATCTTCACAAATGCATTCAGTTCATGAGGACACATCAATGCTATACATAAGGATGGTGGAGCAGAAAAACAGAACCTGAGTCCTTGGTATCATTGAGCTACTTGGAATCGCTCTACTTATGAACGTGCTATTCCAGTGGCAGCAATCATACACACATGCAGTAGGGAGCTGTCATTATCAATGAAAGCTCTAAAAGGTTTGCCATATCTGTCTTATACATGTTTCATTAATTTTTAATTTTTTTGTTACCTGTAACTGACAGCATCTGATTATTTAACTGTGCTTGCTCATCAGTTTATCACCTGTCTACCTCCACTTTGCTCCATCTATCATCTCTACAAAGTTATTAGAACTAGCTTTCTTACAATATCCTTTTATTTATCCTGAGAGCAAGCACAATAATCAATACTTTACCGCTGTACAACTATTCTTACTATCCATCTTACACCGTTACTGTACATGGCTTCTGACCATGGCAAACAAAATATAACCAACAAAAACCTTCACTCAACCTCTGTGTGAAGACATAATGGTTTTTGTTCCATTAAACAGATAAAAAAATTCCTGAACTCAAGAAAGCACATTAATTTCTGAAAGCAGAAATGCAAAGTGAATTAATTTTAATTAAGTGCTCTACTAGAAAATTGCTGTAAGCAAGCACGAATAGTGTCAACTCTTACCAAAAAAAAGTGCCAACTCAACATCCAGAAAAATGTATGCAGAAAAGGCAGATTGAAAAACTTGAAAGGCATTGAAGAGAGGTTTCTGAATTCCTGCTTTGTGTTTTTATATTCCAGAAAAGCAACTATTAAATGTACTGGTCCCTGGTACTGCATGCCACACCATCCCTGTCCCTGGACACACTGTGCCAGCAACCAAGTCCAGACATAGTGGCACACGCCTGTAATCCCAGGGCTGGGGAGGCTGAAAACAGAAGGATCACTATGAGTCTGAGCTGTGTAGTGAGATCCAGTAGAAAAAAAAAAAGTACTGGCACAGCCGTTGATTGCTGACAGACAAGAAAGTATCTTAAAGAGGAACATGTGGCAAAAAAAAAAAAAAAAAAAAAAAAGTTTTAAAGAGATAATGCTTCTATGTTGGGAGAAAGGGCAAAGAATGAAATCTTGGTGAATGTTAATTTAGAGATGAGAAAAGAGTCCTTTAAAATACAGTTAAGGAGGAGCACAGAGTTAAAACCAGGATAGGGTGGCATTGTGGATTAAAAGGAAGGGAATTTCAAGGAGTAAATGGCTGTTAATGACAAGGGCTCTGAGATCAAGTAAATACAGGATGGGAAAAAATAGCTGGGCTTACCAAACAGGACTGACTAGAAAATAGGAAGCATGCTGTGAGGGACATGGTTATACATGGGTGTAATCTTAGTACTTTCAATGCTGAGGCACGAAGATTGTGAGTTCAAGGCCAGCTACACAGTAAAGTCAAGGCTGGCCTGGACTACATAAGACCATTTCCAAACCCAGCCCAGCCCAACCCCACCCAACCCACCCCACCCCACCAACTCCTGTAATGAAGTAGGGTGACTTCAGTAAGACCAGGAGTAGGTTGTGAGAAGAGACTGCATAGGCAGGCCACTCTTCTATAGCACTATAGTTAATGAAGGAGTGTGAGGGCCAGGGAACAGAGAGATTGGAACCTATGACAAAACCTTCAGTAGAAGAACACCAAGGTTGATGTTAAAAGACTCAATCTGGAGATCTACACACTAAAGGAAGGGGATAACTGAGAGCTGAGACCCCTGAAAGAAGCAATACAGAAAGAGCTGATAGTTTACAGGTTAAAACTGCTCCCTCTGTTAAGGTACATGAATGTGTACAGATAGATTTGAGCCTGAAGGACAAGGAAATTGAGTAAGTTTCCAATCTAACTGGTGTAGAGTTGCAAATATTATGTGGGAAAGTTTGCTAGCTAGGATAGCAATGAAAGACTGGGGAGGGAACATAATGGTGTGGGGATATGTGAATGAGAATGGAGAGCCTTAATTCTGGGAAAAAAAAAAAAAAAGGATAGTGATTTCCATTGTGCTGAAAATTTAGTGTCAAAATTACAAATACAACTGACTTATGTTAGTGCAGGGATAGGTTTCAGGTGGTACCAGAGGCATAAAGATTCTGACATTAGGGACTGATGTAGTTACTGTGTAGGCTGACTCCAGATGCAGTGACTGCGTCTTACATTTCTTTCTCCCTTTTCAATTTGCCTTTACGTTGGCCTTTCATGAAAAACAAAAAAGAACTTTTGAGAGACTATCATCCTTTTCAGAGACTGATAACTTAATGGACAATTCTGAACTTTTAACTTATTTTGGCATTTACAATGTATTTGACAGTGTTAGTTTCTCCTTTAGCTTCCACAAAAACACTTCAATTTGTCAGCCTGGGCTTATTCCTTTTACAAATACCAATGAAACGACTTTAGTATCAGCTTATTCTATTATGCTTGTTTCCTACCTTCCTAATGCTTATTTAGAAGTCCAATTTAAAGGTCAAAATATCAACCCCCTCATTTTTTCTTTGTATTAACTGTGAGCCTGACTACTACAACAGTGGTTCCCTTGACAACAGGGACTAGCCTTTATTATTTAAAAATCTCTCTTCTGCACCTAGAATACCACATTTAAGTGATAAAGGACACACACTGAAGGACAACTAGACAGCATTAAAATGGATTTTCTGAGCCACTGCCTTAAGAATTAGGCACAACTGATTTTTCTTGGAACTTATTTTGGAAATAAGTCTCAACATGTATGATGAAAACACAAACTGTTAAGAAATTCTGTAGTCAGAATAAAATAATAAAAGTACTATATGGAGACAAAATACAATCAAGAAAAAAGGGAAAAAGTTACAAAGTTGTAAAAAGAATGGTGAAAATGTCATTAGACACTAATACCTTTTTTTTAAGTCTTTCCCTTCCATAGAATAAGCAGTAAGATCAATTTTTAATCTAAGAAGGATGGTTAAGAGATAATCCATAAATGTAAACCTTGTAACCTTTACTGTAAATTTACACTGAAATTAGGGAGGCCATTGTTTTAAGCTCCTACATTAGCCTCAACAGACCAGTTCAAACAAAATGCAGTCACTCATGCTAAATGCCTGGTAGTCTACCCGAAATTTTAAGGAGCACACAGATCCTAAAGCAGACTATTTTTCCTGAAAATTCAATCCACCCAAGTCAGCAAGGGAGACCTCTCCTTCAACCTTTACAAAAAAGGTAACCTAATATTAACCAATCAGCTTTTTTTTTTTCCTTCCCACCTACAGAAACTCATTCTATGTGTATAATAAGATGTTGCTCAATCTAGAATCCCAACTAAAACAGTCAAATCTGTTATAATTTTTTTTTGACATACGAAATGAATTGTAGCTTTATCAATAGACACAGTAATGACAACCACAAGAACACATCCTTTCATTATTTCTTCAGCAGAAACTAGCTGGTTTTTCAAGGATAGAATTTTCCAAGGTGCAACATAAAATAAACAGCAGAACAAATTAAATTATTAACAGCTAAGGTACATCTGTAGTTGGTTATGTAGACTTGCCACTCAATTTTTAAAGTGAAAGAGAGAAGGAAGTCCCAAGCTACTTGCCTTCCAGTCACTCAGTACTGATACAAAATTTAACCTTAAGATTGGCTATATTGATTACAACTTTAAAATTGGTATGACACTGAGGTGTAAGTTGGTCTTTGTACAATGTTCCTGATAATTTGTTGTGCTTGATTCCACAGGGAGGGCAAGCCTATTCTTGCCTCAGTTCTTGCCCTGGTGTCCTGTTTATTTCACCATTCCTGACTTATATCCTTTAAAACTGTAATCCTAAGTATATCATTCTAGTAAATTACACAAGTCATTCTAGTGAATTATTAAATTTTAGAAGGTTGTAGGAAGCCCTGCATTTGAAGTTGGTAGGGTAGAAGCATAAGTAGCTTATGGACTCCACTTGTAGCTGGTATCTGAATTAAGATAAATCTTATTGAACACTTTACCCTTTAACTTGGGAGATCTGATGTAAACTCCAAGTAACTACAAAATCAAAATGAACACAGGATACTCAAATGTCAGAAATTGGTATCAGAATAGATACCAAAGGGACAAGTGACAAAAAGAACTGAACTTCATAAAAATGTGAAACTCATGTTTCAAAGGCGCCAAAAGAAAATAAAACGGAACACATGTAATAAAGAAAATACTTCAAAAATAGCACAAGTTGAACTCAACTGAAAAAATAGGAACAAGGCTCTGAACGAACATTTCTCAAAAGAAATGGGCAAAAAAACCTGTAGTTATTTCTCCAAAGAAGGTACCAAATAGCCAATAAATATATATGCCTCATATGCAAATCAAAATCACACTGAGAGGCTTGGTATAACTCAGTGTAGAGTGCCTCCTGACTACCAAGGCCTTGGGTAGGATACACAGCACTACAAAACAAAGCCACAATGAGATACTACTTCACACATTCAAGACAATATAAGTATTGGTGAGGATTTAGAGAAATTAAAACCTAATCTCTGCTAATGGAATACAAAATAACATAGGCTGGAAAACATCTTGCTGTCAATAGTTTATATATAATTCTCATATGACTAAGGAACTCCCAATACATTCTAAAAAAAAAAAAAAAAAAAACCCACCAACAATCCAAACCAAGACAAAAAAAAGCCCCATACTATGATTCCATTTGTATGAAATGTCTAAGGTAGGAAAATTCAAGTTAAAAAAAAGTTCATTAGTGGTTACCTGAAGCCCGAGGAGATCAAAACTTGGCAAATCCCTGTTAATAAAAAGAATGTCTTTTGAGATGATGAAGTTCTGAGTTGTAATGACTTTTTTTTCCTTAGATAAGGTCCTGCTATATTAGTTCAGGCTAACTTTGAACAAAGTAGTCCAGCTTGGACTTGAACTTGAGGCAATCCTCCTGCCTCAGCCTTATGAGTGCTGAAATTATAGTTATGTGGCACCATTGTAATGACTTAAGGTACACCTTTCCGAGGAATTTAAAACAGCTACTTGTTTTTCTTTTTTTTTTTGGTGGAACCAGGGATTGAACTGAGGTCCTCACATTTGCCAGAATGTGCTTATTTCACTGAGCCATCTTCCCCAGTCCTCTGAAACAGCTACTTGTATTAAAGTTTTATAAATAAAGTTTTGAGGCCGAACATAAACAGTCCACAATACTAAAAACATAACCACATTTTAAATCAGTTGTGGATATTTTATATTTATTTTTCTGATTTATGTTTATTCTGATTTAATATAGAAAACTATGTTAGTAAAACATAGCAGCTCCTTGTGCTTTACAGTTATTAAAATTGAAACATGTATGTTACTTTTTGATCCAAACTAACATTTTTTAAGGATTCTTAAACATTTCTTACATTTATATGTCTGAATAACTTTCCAATTATGTCTTACAACTCTCTTTGAAAATGTTTTCACTTCAAGAAATCAACAAATAAAAAGTTGATTTGTTTAAAAATAGTCAAGGCTAACACATAGAGGCTGTGTAAAACAACTGCAAAGAAACCAGATTACAAAAGCTAGGGGCAGGCTAACTGTGGTGGCTCCTACGTGCAGGGGCAGCACCCTGGGAGGCTAGGGCAGGAGGATAACAAATCCCAAGTGTGAGTTCCACCTGGGCAAGTAAGTGATAGCCTGCCTCAAACACAAAATGGGGATGTAAGTCTGTAAAGATGCTAGATACGGTCCTCAGTACCACTCATAAAAGTACCTACCATCTCATACCATACCAACGAGTAATGGGAATTAAGTGGATCAAGTCAAGTATGATATAATTAAAAGCAGTGAGGCACTGTGGCAATCATGATCCCATGCTAATCTAGTTGCCATGTGATGTCAGTCTAGTGTTGCCAGATCTCATTTTTTTCAAGACCCCCAAATGATTTTTTTTTTGTCAACTCTCCGTGTTAAATTTGACTTAGGTAGGCCAGGGAGATAGCTCAGCAGCATAAGTGCCTGCCTGGCAAGCAAAAGGTCCTGAGTTTGATCCCAGGTACCATAAATTAATAAATAAATTTGATATTAAAAAAATCTTCTAGTTACTTCCAATTTTCTCAACACTAATTATTATTTTTAAAACAATACATACCATGTTAAATGTGGTATGAAGTAAATTTTAATGTATTTGTCTAACACAGAAAACATTTCCAAGTTTATAGCGGTATTACAGACTTAATACTGCAAACACTGTTGGGATCTCACGCCAGTTATTCTAGCTAAGTTTCTTAAGGAAATATGGCTAGCCAGATTTCTGTGCCCTCAAACTTTTCCAATTAAATACTCAAGTGCAGATTTTGGACAGAAAGCCACAAACCTGTAAGCTGTGTCCAGGGAGAAACTGCAAGGTTCAAAAAAAAAAAAATCTTGATTTAAATCAACACTTGATACAAACTTGGGCGTCTACAACATATTTGTGCTTATTTTGATGCAAACACTGTTCTTTTCATTGTATTCACCTAATTTACTCTGTGGTTTTACACAATCTGTAGCACACTGCTACCTCCAGGATACAGGTGACCTGTTGACAAAGGGAAGAGTCAGAGTTTATCCACTAAGGCTTTCCTTTTTTTTCTTTTTGGAAGCGAAAGTCCTTTCTCGGAACATGGTTTTAAAGAATGCATAAATATATTCTCAAAGAACTTTAATTTTAGCACTATAGTACTCTTAGCCTGGTAACAGGGAGACTTACTGAAAATAGATATTTTTATCATTCGGTTTTACAACAGTCCCAAAGGTTTACAGAATTATACATTACATTTTAAAACATTCCACTTTCCGAAATATCGCCTGCCTTGCAACAGTCTACCATCTCCCTGGAGCTCAGACAGCTTTCTCTTTTCCTTCTTACATGTTTTGCGATAAATTTACCACTGGCCTTCCCACAAAGCTCCTTCTTCCAAAACCCCCCAGCAGAGACAACGCCTCTCCCTCCGCGCAGAAGCCGCGGGAGAAGGAGGAGAAAGAGGAGGAGTAAAGCAGGCCTCGGGCGCTGGCCTGCGGAGCTGCGCACCGAGCGGCAGGCGCGGCGCCGGAGGCGGAGCGCGCCCGCGGGCCCGCAGACAATGCCTCGCGGCGG